TTTAGGGCCCCTGCCACTCATGCAGGAATCTGGAAGAAACTCCTAGCTCCTGGCTCCAGCCCAGCTCCAGGCATTGTACCATTTGGAGAGTGAACCAGTAAAGAAAAGCTCACTCTCTTTCTGTGTGTGTGTGTGTGTGTGTGTGTGTGTGTGTGTGTGTGTAACTCTGCCTTTCAAATAAATATTTTTTTAAAGACTTTTAAATAGAGAACCAAGTCAGCATTTGTTTTCCCATGTAACAACATAGATTTCTAAGTCTTAAGAAATAATCTGTAATGTCCTACTGAGACTCTGAAAAAATGGGACTTTTCTCTGGGTGTCCCTCTTTCTTCTCAATTCCATCATTTCCCCGATAAGGGAAAGGTCTAGTTCCTTGTGACTAGACTAGAATCAGATGATAAGTTCCTAGTTGGCAGTGGCTGCATGGGACATCCATCCTGGATCTGTCCTCACTCCTTGCTAAACCCCTAACTGGACCCACAACCAGCTCAAGAAATAAGTTCATGCTATGTCTGGAGCCTTGTGAAGGCGAGGGCGAGGAGGAGGACATGCGATGGAAACTGGGATCCTTCTGGTCTCCCTCGCTGACTTTAGATAAAACTTTCTTTGGGGTGGGCTGTCTGGGAAAGTCTGTATGAAATTCAAGTCTATGGCTAAACTCGGCACTTGTCCTATTCCAGAACTACTGTTGCTGCCCTCTGTCTGGGGCAGTAAATAATTCTCAGCTTTGAAAAACATATCCCGGTGACACGTTTATGGTGGCCACAAGTGAAGCAGTCTGAATGTCTGACTGCAGGGCTGAGAGCTGTGGGCCGTTTGACCCTCTTGACACAGATTGACTCCTCGTGGCACATGATGGCAGCCACAGCCTTAGGAGGTCCCTGGGTAGAAGCCCTGTATCTTCTAGTGGATGCTGCAGTGCAGGGGCTTAAGCTGTGTACTTCCATGGCTATCACTTTACAGTCAAGGAATTGTGTTGCCGGGGGTTAATCTCACGGTCTGGAACCAACTGATGCTGAGATTCAAATTCCCAACCCACTTTCCTCCAGGCAGGACATGCCAACTTTGACAATTCTAAAGATATGGGGCAGCTTCTCTCTCTCAGCCCAGCCCAATGCACTTCTTGTCCCATGTACCTCAAACCTATTCCCTGCAAAGAATCAGCATGCTAAGCCCATCACAGGGTCTGTTGCCAGGGTATATGGGCTAAGTGGTTTTCTCTTCCTGGTCCATCCCTGGCCCCTCCTGGGTCAGCTTCAGCATTGCCCTGGAAAAACCATTTGTTTTGTTATCAGAGGGGAACACTTTTGTTATGAGTATGTCTTTGATATTTCCTGCCCTTTTGGGCACCTTCCTAAGGAGGCTTGAAGAGGATCCATAGGATCATCAGGGACAAAACCACATTGACTCTAGAAACTGACACCAAATTAACTTGAGAAACAGATGGGAAGTAGATTCTAAATACTACAAGCTTGCGGTCTGCTAGGAGGAATTGCTGGAGGAAGGTGAGTGTGATATGAACAGACATACTAAGAGCAAGTTGGGAAAGGGACAGAAGACAAGGGGCAGAGAAGGACTTTCTCACCAATGAGAGACTTATATTTAATGTCTTGGCTCAGTTACTTTCAATTGTTTTACCCCAAACAAAATCCACATCTGCTAGATTGCTGCCAGAGCCTTTGTAATGTGAGAGCGCAAGGCCTTCCTGGGGTGGGAGGACCAGATTTGCACAGAGAGAAACCTCATGATATGGGCAAGCTGCAAGAAGCCCCACCTGTGTGTACAATGTACTTTACGGATTAAAGCAAACTTTGACATTATGATCTGTTTTACTTAGAATAAGTACTTTACTCTTCAAGCTTCTATTTCCACTTCTATTTCCTTGAGGTGGGGGTAGGAAGAGGGGCAGAAAATCATCAATTCTCTCAGGTAATTGGGTACATGAGCCACTCTGTGTGATTTAAAGCAGTTTAAATGCAAGCAGATGAGAGGCGTGTTATTTGTAGGGTTAGTTCTAACATGAATACGTCCTGTCTTCCATACTGAAATTCCAAGTTGAAGATTCTCCTTGCAGAAAGTCTACTACTCTGGGCACCTGTGACATATTTAGGACGTGGGGGAGTAACATGAGCAGGGGAGTTGTAGTGGAGGGGCTGGTGGAAAACAGAAGGGGAATATTTAAAGAAGTCTTGCTGGTGTCTCCATGTCCCCTTTCTGGTCTTCAAGAAACGTAAATAAATACTCCATGATCCTTAATTGAACAAATGGTTATCTGGGGGTTGAGGCCTTTTGGCTAAGATCAAGTGTAGAAATGTCTTTCACCTTCTTGATGTCCCAGGGAGTGGGGACACTGTTTATAGAAGAACCGTCATTTGTGACCATTGAAACTGCTGCTTGGGATTATTGTGGTCCCCAGATGTTTCTGAGGCAGGTGGAAGGTGAGGAAATATGGTAATCAGAAATATGTAAACAGTAACATACAGGCTATAGGACACTGCACATCGCATACAGGTATGTCTAATACAGACATAGACTTTATTTTAAAAACACTCATTTGGTGCCAAAAATACATAGAAAAATAAAGTTTGATTGGAGTACTTTACTAACATTCAAGTCACAGACTTTGGTGTTACAGATTACAGCACGTTTATTAAGCATGTAGAATGTAAATGAATTGTTTCAATAGGAAAGGAGGGGGCTGGCTCAGCACCATGGTCCAGGGCAGAGTCCAGTTCACCTGTCAGCTCCCAGAAAACTGGTTGTTTAAATGACCTTCTGCTGGTTCCAATTCGTAGGGACAGCTAGCTCTGGAAGTGGAAATGCAAGATGGATTGGTAAGCAAAATAATTTCTCACAAAGACCGTTTTTGCAATATACAACATACAGCACTATAAAATGCTTAATCTTTGTACAATTGCATGTTGAAAAGAATTATATTCAGAGGGTGGATGGTGAATGACTACTGAGTGGGAAAGAGGTACTAAAAGCTCATCTTAGATCATTAAGGAAGAGGGAACACTCTAGGCCATGCCAGCTTTTGAGCCATCAGTATTGTGGTGGGTGTAGTAGCATTTAAGAGCAGTATTTGAACATGAAGCCCAAAACACAGAAAATGCAGGAAACTGACCAAATTTTTGCCAACTGACCTGAGCAGTTTTGTCCAACAGTAAATTGGCTTGTAACAGGAGGAAATGGAAAGCATTGTTACAAAAGAAAAGAAAGTAAGTACTGAGAGACCAAGGAACTTCCAGGCCTCAGGGTTCCTCATCAAGCAATGTTTTGTCTTCTGATGTGTCCCCTCTACCAGGTCACTTGAGCTCCTTAGACAGAAACAGAAAGATAACCAAACTTTGGTTCTCAGCAGCCTCTAGGGGATCTATCTAGAGCACCCCATTATAGGCTTTCAAAGCAGCCCCCAAAATATTTGGACAGCTTGTTTATCCTAATGTTGAGGCCATCATAAGGCCATGTTCTGGAAAGTTTCCTTGTTTTCCACCTCTTCCTGCCAAGTGCTGTCCAGCCCCCTTTGCTCGCTCGGTGGACTGAACCTCGCAAGGTCCAGGCTGCCTTCTCTTCCATGCCCTATCCACAAGCCTGCAGTGTCTACAACTTCAGGAGACCAGCCCTTCATTTTTCAGTGTTCTTTTCTCTGTAAAAACCCAGTACCTCCCACCTCTTCTGCCTGCAGGGTTCCCAAGCATTTTCAGACTGAATTGCAGCAACAGAGCCACTAGAAAGCCCTAGAAAAGCAGCATTGACCTTCTTGAGCTGTCAGGTCTTTAAATAGAATTGGGAATTTAATGCTGTGTGTTTTTTAAGGAAAGAAATCAGAATTGCTAGGTTAGGTGATGCATGCCTTTTAGCCAGTTTAGAATCTGCCTCTCCATACTTATTTTTTAAGCCAGGACAGGTAAAGCTTTGAGAAAGAAAAAGGAAGAAAAAGCAAAGGAAGGGAGGAAGGAAAGGGAGGAGGAGGAAAAACCTCAGGCTAAGTGAGAAAGGTAGATTAGGTGTAGCCAGACCAAAAATGTGGATTGAAAAGGACTAGGGTGAGCGACTGTTACAAAAGCAGGGGAGAAAGGCAGTACCTTATAGTAAAAAATTGTCATGTGTCATGATCTGGTATAAATGGTGTCCTGAAAACTTCAGGGAAATTCTGATTCTAAATGCCCTAGCTGGTCCCACTGTATGAAGGCTCGGAAGAGGCCTGTCCAGCTTCTGCTAATAAGAATGCAATGGCACCAAGAGCAGCCAAAGGGGCTGTGCAGAGAATCTTCTGGCATGCCCTTTCCCTTGCTGTAGAGCTCTGTTTACACAGCCTGTCTTAAAAACCCAGCAAGTGCATCTTGTTCTGTGTGGGCCATCCTGTAAATACTAACATTGGTATACGAGTTAAAAGGAAGAAGCTGCTATTTTCATCTCTTCCCTCCCATTTCCACAGCCCATGCTCATCTATGCAGATCACAGTTCTCCTTGAGACCCCCTACCACCCCTTCTCCCAGGTGCACAGCATAATGTGGGCCGCCACCCAAGGCCAACAAGAGGCCTTTGATTTGAAGTTTAATTCACTAGGCAGCATCCCCATCTGGGGTGTCCTTTCACCCTTTGTGGCTTTGCTTGTTCAAAGCTGGTGACACAAGAAGAGGGACTTGCAACAAACAGAACCCCAGGAGTGATTGCCAGTACCACAACCAAAATTAAATAAGGTAGTAGAAACAGCACTTGACTTTCTCTCTCCCCTTCAAATCAGAAGCTAAAAGCAATAATGACTTGCACTACACATAATGCAGGAATTATTTGGGTATTAAAATATTCGCTGCCCTGAATCTTTATGGGTTCACCGGTGATGAATCTGGAATTTGCACAGAAACCTCCAACAGCTTTGATCTCCACCCCTATAGTTCCCCAGTGTTCCCTGATCTTGGCCCCTTTGGTTTTCCAGAGAGAAACTCCCTATGGCTAGGCAGTTTGGGAACACCCAGCTGACATCTGGGCTGATTCTACCAGAAAGCAGGGCTCCAGCCGCCCAAGCAGTAAAGATAGGGGTAGCACGGGTAGTTGTACACAGAGACCAGGGAGGCCCGTGAGAAGCCCTCTTCCTTCAGGGCCGGCAGCGAGGCGCGCTTCTCCAACTCGCCCAGGTCCGAGGTGAGCTGCTTCCGCTTAGTCTTGTAACGTCTGTTCTGGAACCATATTTTCACTTGGGTCTCTGTGAGTTTGAGGTTCTTGGCCAGGTGTGCTCTTTCTGGGGCTGACAGATATTTCTGATGGCTGAACTTCCTCTCTAACTCGATGACCTGAGTGTGGGAGAAGGCGGCTCGCGAGCGCTTCTGTGGTTGCTTGGCGGTTTGTGGAAGGCTTGTTGGGAAGGTGCCTGCCGTGTCCTCACAGTCTAGCAGATAGGTCTCAAAGTGCCTAGCTGGAAAGCAGGGGAGAGACGGAGGGATGAGAGGAAAAGTTACATGTTAGCCGGGAAGAGAACTCAAGTCAACCCTTGCCTATCTCCTGCGAGTGAACAAATAGCCCTCTGTTATCGCTGATACATTTCACTTTTTTCACATGACTAAAGGAACCTTCCAGTGGAAAAGTAAATCTATTATGTATTAGCTGTTCTTTTAAAAAAAATAATAGTAAACTTATTTATTTGAAAGAGTTAGAGATTGAGAGGTTTATCCATCCACTGAGGCACTCCCTGGATGGCCCCAACAGCCAGTGCTGGGAACCGACAAGGCAGGGAGCTTCATCCAGGTCTCCCACATGGGTGACAGGGGTCAAAGCAGTTAGGTCATCCTCTGCTGCTTTCCTAGGCACATTTGCTGGGAATTGGATCAAAAGTGGAATAGTCCCAGGATAAACTGCTGTTCATCTGGGCTGCCAGAGTCACACAGATGGGGCTTTACCCCACAAAACCCCGACAAAGCTACAGCGCTGGCCGCTGTGTCTTAATATTCTAATAATCAGCAGTGACCCAGAGCAGGGCATTTGGTGGTTGGATTCGCTGCCATATTGCCCTGTAGAATTAAATGAAGGGAAGAGCCACGACACAAGATGCTATCGGTCAAGTGGGACATCAAAGGCATCCGGTGCTAGTGTCAACGGGGGCCAGTGAGGGCTTGTGTGGCGGCGGCGGCGAGAAGGCACCGGCTTGTGCCAACATCATTCTCTGGCTTTTATTCCCTTTTCTCTGAACTTGGAGGGTAGGCTGCCCCATCATCAGGCGTCTACACCTGACTCCGCGCAGGCAGGGTCTGGGTTTCACCTCCAGGATGTGGGCTATGAGCACACTGCCTGCGAAGCTGGGGAGGATCCGAGGGCAGCCGCTGCTGCCCTGCGTCAGAGGCGAATCCCTGACGTGCACCCGGTGCTGGCAGGTGATGAAGGAGGGACCGGGGACCCGGAGCGTGGAGTCCCTCCGCCTTTCTCTGCGGAGGTCCACATCCCTGCATGCTGAGCTCGGCTAAGTCCGCCTGGACCGCTCGCCTTCGGGCTCGATCCTCTCAGTCAGCCCAGCCTGGCCTCCCCTGGCCTCGCCGAGCTTACCTGGCTCCGTCTCCACCAGCGTCTCGACCTCCCCGAGTGCGGCTCTGGACCCGGTGTTTGCCTCTTCTGGCGCACCGGCGCAGCCTCTTTCTCCTGCGGGCTCCGGCCCTGGGTCCGGCATTGGATTCCTCAGGCGCGGGGACTGTGGGCTGCAGGTGTGGCCACCGCGCCTTGCTGTGTGGTCCCGCAGGATATCCTGGATGAGGAAAGAGGTAAGCGGTTTGGATTGGACTGGCGGGGTGGCCCGGGAGCTGCAGCCGGCCTCCTCCGGCTCCTCGGGCCGCTGCGGCTTGCAAGCCCTGAGCATCCCCGCGGCTCGGCTGAGGCCCCGCTGCCAGCGCCCGCACCGCTTTCACTTTCCACCGCCCCGCACGCACTTATAGCCCCGGGAAAGGAGGATGCGCGCCGCCTTCCCATTGGCCGCGGGAAACGGATGGCTCTTCGGATTGGCCGCCTGGTGCTCCAGGTGACCTGGCGGAAAAGGCGAGCCCTTCGCGCCGTCCAGCTCGGTTCTCTGCCCTGGAGGAATCCTTCAACAATATCCCGCCCTCCTTCCCTGGCTTGACCCCTTCCGCCCTAAGCCAGTTTTTCTGTGCCCCAGACCACTCGAGATGGAAGTTGAGAAGCTTTTCGGGAATAATGATGCCGAGAACAAATGCAGCAGTCAAGGTGTCTTAGGAACAGAGACACACGCGAATCTGTCTTGCCGCCCCCCACTTTACAGGTGAGAATCCTGCTGGGTGCTCTGCGACTGCGATGCGGAGCGAGCAATGGCAAACTCAGATCCTCCAAAATCAGGGCGCTCTGACAGGCATCCCTAGGCTGGGCTCTGCTGGGCATCCTTGGGGCAAGTGAACGAAAGTGGACGAAGGACTAGGGAAGTACTCCATGTTAAGTTGGCTACAGCCGAACCTTTCACTGTGGTTGTGTAAGAGAATATTGTTAGGAAATAAACTGAAGAGTGTGATGTACTATTTATCCTCACATGGTGCAGGATAACTGTAGTGGGCTGCAATATTCATAACAGGTGACACTGGAGACGCGCTGTGCTGATGTTCTTCTAAACTGGTTTAGTGCAACTTTGGTGTCTGAAGGTCTAGGGTGCTCTCCATTCGATGGAAGCCGTCTTCAAAGGATCCTGTGTTGTGTGTCTGGGAAGAAGAAAGGGGAAATGGAGTATTGAGGATAAAACAACTCCAGAGCTTTGCACTCATCTTTTCCAGGTCTCTTTCATTTAGAAATTTTTTAAACAGTTTTTGAAAATACACAAGACATTAAAAAAAATGCTTCCAGTTCCCCCAATAGTGGCATTATATAACTGTATGTCAATATATTTTTTAAAAAACACAGGAAATTGACACCAATTTAATTACTGTTCACTAGACTACAAATTTCATTGTATTTTCAGTTTTGAAATCTGCATCCGTATGTATGTGTATATGCATGGGTGGGGGTAACTTCTGCAATTGATCACGTGCCTAGATTTAGCTAACTGCCACAATCAAGACAAAATTGTTTCTGCAACAAAAGAACTGCATTGTGACACCTCATTGTATTTGCATCTCTAAGCCCCCATGTTCCACTTCTGATCTCTACCAACCACAAATCTGATCTTCATCTGTAAGGTTTTCTTGTTCTGAGAATGTTAGAAGAGTGAAACATGCATTCTACAGCAGGGAACCTTTGGAGATTGGCTTTTTTCCCACCTAGCATAATGCCCTTGAGGTCCACTTGGGGGGTTGCATAGACTCATAGCTACAATTTCTTATTGCTGGGTAGTGTTTCAGTTTTGGGATCTACCAGAGTGTGTCCTCACTGAAGGGTCCTTTACTTGTTTTTGCTAGTATGAATCAGTGTCCTAGGAACATGGGTGTTTTTGTGTGAGCAAGGTTTTCGTTTCTGTGGAGTGAATGCCCAGGAGTGCGGTTGCAGCTGGAGGCAAGGTGGATGATGGTATTGTATAAATGCCCAACTGTTTTCCAAAGGGGTTGTGACAGTTTGCCACTCCGCAGCAGTATCAGAAAGCCTCAGTGTCTCTGCATTCTTGGTGTTAACACTTACTTTTAATTTTAGCCATCAAACTCTTATCTGGCTTCAATTTTTACTTTCGGTCTTACACATGGCTCAGGATGTTGAACATGTTCTTTATTCCCATTGCTGTTTGCTCTATTCAGATATTTATTCAAGTCTTTTGGTTACATTATAATACGATTCTCTGGATTTTTACTGTCAAATGTTGACAGAATTTATTTATTCTGTGTTAGCCTTAGGGGACAGCCAGTGCAGCCCAGCCAGGCCCATGGGATGCCTGCATCCCATGTCAGAGTTCAAATCCCAGTTGTTTACAATTCAGCTTCCTGCTTCATGCCTCTTTGGAGGCAACTCTAGATGGCCCAGCATCTGGGCTCTTGGCTTCGATCTGGCCCAGACCTGTTGTTGTTAGCATTTGGAAAAACATCTCTCTCTCTCTGTGTATCTCTCTGTCACTCTCGCTTTCACTCTCATGTTCTTCTGCGCTCACATTCTAGCTCTCTAGAATTACTTGGAAGCAACTTCATAGAGTTGAATGGGCATTAGAGGCTGGGGCAGTTGGAGGAAGGGTTGCTTTGTGGAAGGAGCACAAGGAATGTTAAGTGCTTGCTGGTTGTCTTAGCCTACTTTATGCTGCTGTAACAAAATTTCATAGACTGGATTGTAGGAGGACTTTGTGAGCCTGAAAGGTCAGCGAGCACAGGTTTGCAGTTCATTGGACAGTGTTTGCATGACAACAACCAAATGGCTACCTTTGGTATAAACAGCATGTAAATGAGAACACCTGGTGTAATATACAAAACAAAAGGAATTCCAATCGAGAGAGGGAAACAGTACGTACTCTCAGTGTATAAAGTCTGATGCCTCTAATAAACTTCGGCTTTGACCATCAGTCAGGGTCCACGTGTGTTATTATCGGCTCCGTGCACCAAGTCCATCGCTGCAGGACAGCGACACTGGATGAAGAGCAGATGTTTATTTTCTCATGGCCTTGGAGCCAAATTAAGATTTTTTTTTTTAAGATTTATTTATTTTGAAAGTTTGAGCTGGAAACAGAGAGAGAATGATCTATATGTTGTCCACTCCCCAGATGCCAATGCCATACTAAGTTGAAGCCAGGAGCTAGAGCTACGTGCCAGTCTCCAACACTTATGCATGGGCCCAAAGACGCAGGCCATCTTCCATTATTTTCCCAGGCCATGGCAGGTGGCAGCTTTGCCTGCTATGCTAAAACATCAGCCCCTATATGGGCTGTAATCCCATTTATGAGGAGAGATCCTTAATGCATAGTCTCCTATTAGGAAAACACACACATACACACACAAATTTGGCCATTTTGGTCAAATGCACAATTTGGTATTTTGGCCATTCGATTTAACAGCTGAATTTTGGAGGGGACACACTCAAACTATGGCACCAGTTTTTGTTTAGCCTTTTTGAGCATCAGGGCTGTGTTTCAGCTTCTCCTTTTCCTGTAACACACCAAGAAAGCAGAGAGAAAATGACCTATATTTAATGTTCACTCTAGATTTGTTATCGTTGGTTCAATTGCTGTAGGCATTTAATCCACACTGCCTCCCAGTGGAGCCTAAAACTCAGAGACTCCACTCAGGTCCCATAGCTGACCAGGTTGTTCTGGCTTCAAAGTTCCTGCCTTCTGCATCGTGTCTGGTGGTAGATATAGGATGGATGTCTGGCAAACACATACTGACTTTTGCATTCAGAAATGGCTTTGAGGGCCCAGCATGGGAGCCTAGCAGCCAGGATCCCATGTGAATACTGCTTCCAGTCCTGGCAACTCTGCTTTCCATCCAGCTCCCTGCTTGTGGCTTGGGAAAGCAGTCAAGGACTGCCCAAAGCCTTGGGACTGGTACTTGTGTGGAAGACCTGGAAGAGGCTCCAGGATCCTGGCTTTGGATCAGCTCAGTTCCGGCTCTTGCAGCTACTTGGGGTGTGAATTATTGGATGGAGGATCTTCCTCTCTGTCTCTCCTCCTCTTTGTGTATCTAACTTTCCAATAAAAATAAATCTTTTAATAAAAGAAATGGCTTTGAAGACAGGTCTGGTTGTTTTGGACCCTGAGTCTAATTGTCTTGGGTAACACTGTTATAAGAGAAAATAGACTCCAGTGTCATGGAGGAGGAAGGTCAGAAAGGGCCATTTATAAGTCTCTAGATACCAATGCCTCCCATTTTGTTATTCTCCAGAATTCCTTGTCCAGCTGGCCCAATTTAGCTTCTTGCTATTTGATCGCAAGAAAGTGTGACAGCAGAGCCACCACAAAAGAGGACCAAGGAGAATATAATCCCTCTCTCCGTGGTTTGCTTTGATTTAGACACCTGCTGGAAAGCTGCATTGGATTCTTGCTTCCTGGCTTTAGCTCCAGTCCCAGCCACTGCAGCAGTTTGAGGATTTGAACCAGTGGATGAGAATGTGTTCTATTTCTCTTCCTCTCAAGTGAATAAATAAACTTTTAGTATTAGCCTTTATGAAGACATGCAAGCCACAACACCTGGGGTGGGACAGAGGGGGCAAGGGGCGAAGGGCAGGGCTTGAGCCAGTGAAATCATTATTCCCCAGACTGCAAGGGTCTTGTCCAAATGCAGACCCAGTAGGTCTAAGCGGGAGCTAAGAGTCAACACTTAAACCAAAACTGGCAGTGATGCCACAGCTACTGGTTCAGGGCTCTCTCCTCCTGCCCCACCTGCTTCGCTTTGTGAGAGCTGAGGCCAGTGGGAAGCGCTTGGGGGCAGAGAGCATGAACAGTGTAGGCTACTATGGATTCACACAGTGGACTCCATGTTTCATTGGAGGGACCTAGCCGTGGACATGCTCAGTGCCTTCACTTCACATTGAAACCCTCTGGCTTCGACTTCATATTCCACAGTTGCAGCCACACCTCCCTCCCATCTCGTGGCCCTCTGGAAAGTGCTGATTCTCTACCTCTGTGGGTGTGTAGCCTGGTGCTCCCTGCAACCTTTCCCTGCAGCCCAGAGGAGCAGAGTGTGGGAACCTTTGGTGGCAAATAATAACTCAAGCTTACCATGTGCTTCATCAGGGTTTATCACCCCAGGAAAGCCATGAGGGAAGATTTATTGAGCAACAGGAACCTTGAAGTATTTTGCTAGTGCTGCTCTAAGTTACCTCCCCTCCTCATCCTGCCACAGGCCACAGCTGCTGGGTTGCATCTGCAGAAACTGGCCTGTCTCTCACTGGGTGGCCATGACCCTCCATCTCCTGGTCTGCTCAAAAGCTTAGCAGAGTCCCTCACCTGGG